CATGAAATGTGCATAATACCGGAAGAAAGAAACTGACTTACTTCTTTCTAAACATCATTTTTAACAATTATCCATAAGTCTTTGACAAAGGAGAATGTTATCCGAGGCTATTCTTGATAGGTGTTTTACCTGAGCCATATGAATAGTATTAAAAGCAGTAGAATTGATAAGACATCTGTCCAATTTCTTTAAAATCCGAGTTCATCCAGATTTATTGTTGCACCTGGTGTATTTGGGACCCATAGACTTCACTTCATGTAGATCATTATGAATCATGAAATTCTTCATATCCAGAACCTTGAGACATTAAGAATTTCTTTCCCCCTCTTTTTTCTTCCTGAGACAGCACAGAGTTAAAGTAACCACCAACCACCATATGACAGTCAACAGAACAATGTTTCTCCAAACATTCCCATAATCCTTTCCTTATTACCGCTTATGGACTTGCATAGACCGAAGCCACCTTCCAGCAACCCTTATTAAGGATTGTTAAATTTCCAATAATCACTCGTGAAGAGTGTTCAATCAGCGAGAATACAGATACATCCTTTCTCCATAATACCATCAATCCACCAGATAGTCCTTCAGAAGGTACCACAAATGATTCCCAATTATTTCCCAATAGGTTTAAGATGTGAGAGTTGTCTACCGAACTCAACTTTGTTTCCAACAAGCCTACAAACAAAGTATTGTTGTTTTTCACCAACTCCTTGAGATATAGAGCGGCCTCCACTTTCTTGGCCCCTCTACAATTCTAAAACACCAAGGAAGTCATTGTTTAAGAATGAGGGTAGCACCCCCAATCTTCTTATATTTTCCTCCTTCCAACTTCCTATTTTGAGCAATGATGTTTGAAGAACCAAGTGATTTAAGTTCTTTTAGCAGCTTTACCTTTTTTTTCCCAAAGGATTCTGTTGAAGGTTCCTTCTTTGATTCCTACCTCATCAGTGGCTTCATACATACTGGAAGGTCCAAGTGACCAATATTGCCCAACTCCTTGTCCATAATTTCTCCTTCCTCAGTACATTCTTCCTCCCATATTGTCTCTACTCCTGAATTATCTTTCTCAGTAACCTCTCCCTCCCCCATCTTTAAGCTGTCTGAAATTGAATAGGGAATACCTGAGTTCGCAAGAAATCAGTTCGGATTTGCTTGAGTTCGCAGGCAACCCACCACAACCAATTTAGTTTATGAATTTGTTTTACCACCCGTGGTAACATTTGCATCTACTGTAATGCCTTCAGAAGCATCCACGTTGTTATTATAATCACTTTCCAACAAATCCATTCCTTGAGGTGAATTGTTACTCACTTCCAGCCCACTCTTGTTGTTAAGCCTCATTACAACATCTTCCTTCCTGTTGTTAGCCAGTAGACTTTTACCTTCCTCCGATTTCTTGTTATCCTTCTTCCCTGTATCAACACTTTCATTCTCTGGGTTGACCACCTTCTGAACCGGTTGATAAATCTTTTTGAAAAATCTCTTATTCATTACACCATTTATTTTGGGAATGTTAGTAGAAACTTTCTATTGGTTGAACCCTCTACCTTTTTTGCGATTTACCATAACCCAAGGACCATATGAAGTAGTTTCCAATACGTCAACCTCCTTGTCAAAACCACCTTCCACTCCACCTTCATTGATGTCCTCCTTCTTCCTCTGTTGCACATTATTATTCTTATTGCATTCCTCTTCCTCATGACCAATCCTTCCACAATGGAAGCAAAAGGATGAAATTTTTTCATATTCAACTCTTTGAAAAATCTCCCTGAAATACTATCAACCCAAACTCCTAATGGAAGCCTTTGGTCAATCTTGACCCTTACACAAATTCTAGCAAATTCTCTTCTCCCCCATTGGAATAACACTACGGGAAAACACGCGAATACCGTCAGATTTTCCGGCGAAAAATTCTGGACGGTAATAAACGGCGCAGGTACCGGCGGATTTGCTCGACGTAAAGTTTGCGTCAACCTTTCCGGCGCAAAATACGCCGTAAATTCACCGACGCAAGTTCCGCCGGCAAATCCGACGGTATAGGGATGCCTGAACCATTTCCGTCGCACGTTACGGCGGAACCATTCCGGCGTATGTTACCAGCGGACATGGCGCCGGCGTATTTAAACTCAACAAAATATATCCGACGGATTAGACGTCGGAAATTATACCGACGTCACTAGTGTCATTACCGGCGGAACGTACGCCTGAAAAAGCCATATTTAATGAACCCGAACCCCTCTGGTCGTCATTCGTTTCCTTCAATTCTCTCACTTCGACTGCTTCTTCTTGTTGATAAGACTAGAGAGGGATTTGAAGGTAAACTTTGATTATGGAAATCAACATTAGTCCATATCTTTTTGCTTTAGTCATGGTTGTTAGCACTAGATATTTTCTAGAGGATGTACCTTGGTGCATGCTTTTTGTTGATGATATTGTTCTTGTTGATAAGACTAGAGAGGGAGTTGAAGGTAAACTCCGGCTCATAATGCGACGCTACTTACCGGCGGATATGGTGCCGGATTCAAGACGTTTTTCAACGTCGAAAACGATCCATTTTTTTGCCAGTAGTACGTCAAAAACTGCGCCGGAGAAATTTCCGACGCAAAATTGGCTCCGAAAATAATTTATCGATGCGGCCGAAACCGGCGCATGGATTTCCGCTGCAACGTGCACCGGAAACGTATATTTTCGTCGGAATATCTATGTTTTCCGGCGTATTTCGTCCGTCGGTAATATGGGGTTTTCCTGTAGTGTAAGTTACCATCCAACATAAGAGGAGTGCCAATCCTGGATGCAATAATTTTAATATTCTAATCATCCTAGGAATGAAGTGGAAGCTGAGGCATCCTGATCCAAATTGGTGAAGTTAAACCCTTCATAGAAGAAGTTGAAAAATCTGGATTCCATTTTTCCATGCCTATAATGTGATCATTGACAAACCAGGGTCCCCCTGAAAGCACTGCCTCCATCGATTCATGATCATTGAATGAGCACAAAAACCAGCCTTCACCGATTGTAGTAAAATGAAATTTGCCCAGCTAGATCCATTGTCTTCTAACTTCCCACGCAACCAAGTGTGGAGGCATCTCCTTGCCAAATACTTTTATTACCAATGATTTCACCAACCTATTGGCATTAATATTTTCAGATTCTTCACACAGCTTCACGGCCTTACCATCATCGGACATGACAACATCTTCTTCATTAAAATTTAACTTGATGTAAGGTTTAGTAATTCCATTACTAAATTTATGCTCAAGAGATCTCTTTTTAGGAAAAAACACTAATAACCTTGTCTACAAATGATATTTCCTTATCAACCAAAGCTGATTTGAAACACAGTGGATTAACCCCTTCTCTACCAGGATGTAAAGGACTAACTTGGCAATCTCCTAAATCAGCTGAAGCACATTTCCTAACTTCCCATAAATCCAAATTAGAATTCCTCTGATTACTCCATACAATAGGGTCATCTCTGCTGAGATGCGTAGATGTAATTCTCTCTGAAGCACCAGGCGACTTATTAAGGAAATGAACTTCTTTGCTCACTGAATTTAGGGAATTTGCATTTATCTTGCTTCCAGGGATAGAGATTGCACTTAAATTTCCAAAACAATTCACAAAAATTTTCATTCCCGACGAGGAAGCCCCCGGATCTGGAGAGAACTTTTGAAAATCTGATAGGTTATCAATTTTAATGTCAGCTGTCGAATCCACCTTTTTTCCCTTACCTTCCACCAGAGAAATCTTATCTTGTTGCTCAGCAACCCTTTCTGAAATGACCAGCTCACCTCTAGCTCTTTGACGACGATCGATTTCTTTTTGACGTCCCGCAGCTGCTTGAAGATGCCTGAGGTCAGAAGACTCCGACGATGTCAAAGATGGTTGGCAGCCATCTACCGCCATGTTCTCATGTCCTTCCACAAAATGTGATAAAAAAAACTGCGAGATAGAAATTTGAAAAATAACAGATTTTCTCTCACTAGAAATCATAGACGTTCACTCACTAGAAATCACAGACGTACCATATCCTATTCCCTGGTTAAGTGGATTAATGATGTCTTTATGGAGAATAATTATAGGAAGGACTCTGGATGATCTGTTATGAAGAAAAGTAAAGGCCTGATGGGTGAGAGGGAGTTCTTAGCTAATCAAGAATTAGAGTTTGGGTGGGATCATAGTGATATAAGGATAGAAGAGCATGGAGAGAAGTCTCCGAGTTTTTTGGAAGAAAATGGGAATTTAAATGTTTCTCTAAGATCAGGCACCTGGGAATAAGATCAAATGGTAAATAAGAATATAAAGAATAGAAAATAGAGAATAATTTAATCGAGCTTCGGGTTAAGAAAAACTGAGGAGATTGACTCGGAAACAAATAAGAGATTTTGTTGAGAGCTCCATTGCAGAGTTCAGGCCTAAACATTAATGGAGAAGCTATGGGAACGATGGAACCTGTGACTACATAGGATTTTCTTGAAAACGAATCAATCCTAATGATTCATTGGGTAGGATGGCGAAATGAACCAAGAAAAAATGGATTTCTTCTGAATGGTCATGGATTGATCCTACAAATGAAGGAGGAAAGAGTCAATATTCGCCCGCGAAACCTTTCTTTATTTTTAATTTTTCTTTCATTTAAGGATTTTCTTTATTGGTGTGATTCAATTTCAATAGAGGTAAAGTCAAATACTTTAGAAATCTTGATAAAAGAAAGAAGCATTATATATAAACAAACACACCTAGTTATCTAGTTAGTTATATATAAAGTTACCTATGTAACAAATTCAATATAAAAAGATTAGTATATTCTTTCTTTTCATTTTGATAGAATGAAATACATAAATACATGTGTATATTTAATATTCTTGAATCATTTCATTCGCGAGGAGCTGGATGAGAAGAAACTCTCATGTCCGGCTCTGCAGTAGAGATGGAATTCAGAAACAACCATCAACTATAACCCCAAAAGAACCAGATTTCGTAAACAACATAGAGGTAGAATGAAGGGAATATCTTGCCGAGGCAATCATATTTGTTTTGGCAGATATGCTCTTCAGGCACTTGAACCTGCTTGGATCACAGCTAGACAAATAGAAGCAGGGCGAAGAGCAATGACACGATATGCACGTCGTGGTGGAAAGATATGGGTACGTATCTTTCCCGACAAACCTGTTACTGTAAGACCTACAGAAACACGTATGGGTTCGGGCAAGGGATCCCCCGAATATTAGGTATCCGTTGTTAAACCGGGCCGAATACTTTATGAAATGAGTGGAGTATCAGAAACTGTAGCCAAAACTGCTATGGAAATAGCTGCATGCAAAATGCCTATACGAACTCAATTTGTTATTTCAGGATAGGTAAACAAAAGTAAAAGAAGAAGGAAGGAGTATTGAGAATGAAAAAACAACCACAGATTTCTTTATCTCTGGACAGACAATATTTCTTTTTTCCATTATCCCTTGCATTGAAATAAGAGATTCAAATAAAAATGATATGATTCAACCTCAGACCCTTTTGAATGTAGCGGATAACAGTGGAGCTCAAGAATTGATGTGTATTCGAATCATAGGAACCGGTAATCACCGATATGCTCATATTGGCGATGTTATTGTTGCTGTAATCAAAGAAGCAGTGCCCAACATGCCTCTAGAAAGATCAGAAATAATTAGAGCTGTGATTGTACGCACGTGTAAAGAACTCAAACGTGACAACGGCATGATAATACGATATGATGACAATGCAGCGGTTATCATTGATCAAGAGGGAAATCCAAAAGGAACTCGAATTTTTGGTGCGATTGCTCGGGAATTGCGACAGTTGAATTTTACTAAAATAGTTTCATTAGCGCCCGAAGTCTTATAGATGAAGATAGGATATATCCTATCTATTCTATATATAGAAAATAGAATATTCAAATATCTGAAATAGATCCGATTAATAGATTGTGTCTCATGCATATATTTGAGATTTAGAATAATTTTTTAGAATTTAAGAATTTCAAAAAAAAATTCAATAAAAAATAAAACAAAAAATGAAGCATGTTGATTATATCAAAATGAGGAGGCACCAATAACTATAGTTCGTCATGGGTAGGGACATTATTGCCGATATAATAACTTCTATAAGAAATGCTGACATAGATCAAAAGGGAAGAGTTCAAATAGTATCTACTAATATCACTAAAAACATTGTGAAAATACTTTTACGAGAAGGTTTTATTGAGAACGTTCGAAAACATCAAGAAAGTAAAAAAGATTTCTTGGTTTTAACCTTACGACATAGAAAGACTAGGAAAGGTAATAAAATTATTTTAAAGCGTATAAGCCGACCCGGTCTACGAATCTATTCCAACTATCAACGAATTCCTAAGATTTTAGGTGGAATGGGAATTGTAATTCTTTCTACTTCTCGAGGTATAATGACAGATCGAGAAGCTCGACTAGAAAAAATTGGAGGAGAAATTTTGTGTTATATATGGTGATTCTCCCGGGGTACCCTAATTTTCTCTCGAACTTACTATTTGTAAAATAGAGAGGAGAAGTGAATTATAGAACTCTTCCTCTATTAGTTGATACTTAAAGGGGGTTCCCTGGAATGAAAGAACAAAAATTGATTCATGAGGGTTTAATTACTGAATCACTTCCCAACGGTATGTTCCGAGTTCGGTTAGATAATGAAGATCTAATTCTAGGTTATATTTCAGGGAGAATCCGGCGCAGTTTTATACGTATACTACCCGGAGATAGAGTCAAAATCGAAATGAGTCGTTATGATTCAACCAGGGGACGTATAATTTATAGACTTCGCAAAAAAGATTCGAACGATTAGATCATTCTTTTAAACATCCTTTTTGTAGGGATATAATTCGAAGTTCAAAAATGCAATAAACTGATTCTTGTTTCAAAAAAAAAATAGATTCAGAATGAAAGTAAGGAATGATAAATATGAAAATAAGGGCTTCTGTTCGTAAAATTTGTGAAAAATGTCGCTTGATTCGTAGGCGGGGGCGAATTATAGTCATTTGTTCCAATCCGAGACATAAACAGAGACAGGGGTAATCCTTCTCAAGTTCTAAATCAAGTACTTTTTCAAACCCATGTACATGTAAAAAGAAAGAAGAAAGGATTCGTTTTCATATGAAATGGATATCCCCGTATCTTTCTGTAGATTTCTGATTCTTCTTTCTTTTTCTTTTATTCTTATGAATATGATCTAATAAAATATGACAAAACCTATAGCAAAAATTGGTTTACGTAAGAATGCACGTATTGGTTCAAATAAGAATGAACGTAGAATACCAAAAGGAGTTATTCATGTTCAAGCGAGTTTCAACAATACTATTATAATTGTTACGGACGTACAAGGTCGGGTGGTTTGTTGGGCTTCCACAGGTACTTCTGGATTCAGAGGCACAAGAAAAGTATAATAGGTTAACTAACTTGTAGTCAGGTTAACCTAGTATGAACTATACTCTAATTTTAGAGGTCTTACACTTTTGGACTCACAAAACTTTTTCATAAGCCTGTGCTAGATGGCTTTATGGTGTCTTCCTTGAGAAGTGGAAGGAGACTAGAAATTGCATAACTGAAACTTCCAAAATAGGTGGTGCTTTATGAAATAATCTCTTATTGGAAATATAATCCTCAACACGTAGGGTAGTACTCATCAGCAGAAGCTTTAGACTAACAACAATTTTTTTATTGCTATTAATAGCACTTGAACGTATCTTTTTCTTTTGTTCCTCATATAATTCCTATGATGACTATTAACAATTTTAAAGTTCCATAAAGTTTAGGCAATAATGAGGCACAAAAAATATTTAATACCTTCACTTCTTACCTGGCATAAATTTTATGATATGAGACAACATACCAACCAGGATATCTATGTTCAAGCTCTTCTCATGAGCTTCTTCAGGAATGATGATAAGATAATGCTTTAATAGAAAGTCACTTTGCATAACTGACAGTTCATTAATCAACATTCTGATTGTGAAAAAACATATTTATGTACATATACCCTCTAATAAAAAAAACAAAAATAAAGTTACAAGAATATGTTACCTGCCAACATCACAGGATGCATAATTATTAGACATTTGGTAATTACAATATAATAGAACATCCATTATTTCATATCTTATAAACAATGAAAAAAATTTAATGTGCAAAACTTGGGACCTTCTCATTTCAATTAAAAAATCTCATCACAAACAATTTTATGAACTTTCATCACTCTTGGTGTTTAAGTCTCATTAGAAGATTGTGAACTTTTACTCCTTTTTTATTAAATCAATGTTAGACCACTACAAAAGGCAAATCCTTCCCTCCTAGCCTCTGTTAACAAAGTTGTCATAATTATCTAATGCTTTCTTCTCCCTTCTACAGAAAATCCTTTCACATCAAACTATTTTCTTGATTTCTACCAGAATACATCCAAATGCGATAATTAATACTACAACCACCCTATTCACTTTATACTTCTTGGTTTTGTCAAGCATTCATTAATTATCATCTTTTCTATAGCCAGTTTATCTGTTTGAGCTTCTTTCAGGATCACAAGTCCTAATTTTAACCATTTCATTATAATTAACATCCTGGCCAAGCAACTAATCAATTTCCTTCAACTTCAAACTTGAGGTCAAAATCTCTTGAGAAAAATGTTAGGACTTTTTACAAGAATAACAACAACAATAATCTTTTATCCCATTAGGTTTAGTTAGCTATATAAATTCTTTTTCTCCATTGTATCCAAAAATATTAGACTTTTTAAGATGATCTAATTTCAAAAATGTGTCAATTATAATCACTGAAAGCTTATCAAAAAAAGGTTTTTGTATGTGTTATGATGATGTCAATTATTAGAAACAAAAATGTATTTAAAATCACCACCATGTAATTTATCTTACAGCTAAATTATAAAATGTTGTTTTATGAACTAATTAATTTTTTTTTTCTTTATTGAGGACATGTAACCATTTTGTTGAAGCAATAAAATATAATAGTTTTCAAGCAACCAAACTTCACATTTTGGGTTTAATACCCCACAAAAAATTGCCTTGATCTAGCATAAACCTATAGGCATATTTTGTCATGTAGGAAGCTTATCATATACATCACAAGCAAAGCAGGGGAGAAATATGATAAATACAAAAAATCTTCGAATGGTGCTAGAGGATTTGCATTCAACACAATTCTGGGTGCAATGCCTTCTAGTATTATAACATTTTCAGGATCCTTAGAGATACTTATAGGTTGAAATGACTTACCCTCATCCCTTGCAAGTATTCTTTCAACCATTATATTTCTAATGCTTTACATTAAGAATTATGCATTTATACTATCATGTAATTCTATTTAAATGTTATTTTCATATGTTTACTATTATTTTAATATGCTTATATACAAGTCATATGAAAGTTAAACATGTTTACATACAAACCAGAGGAAGTTACTTATTAACTTAGAAACATTACACTCTCCTAGGCTCTGTACTAATTATATCAGATCATATCCATTCTTATTCTCTTAGAAAAATCACTTATGCTTCCATAATTAAATCCTTAGAACCTTAAATCTTATCTCTGATATCACTTTTGTAACACCCCATAATACTCCTTAACAGTACTGACAGTATTACTAACATAAACACAACTTTTTCATCAATTCTTCATAGGATACTTTTGAACATTTAAAAAATTTGTATAAAAGATCCAAAAATTTTCATTCATCACATTAACGGAAGCACCTAATACCTTTAAATTTTAACAAAACATACTTATAGAGCCACGAAGAAATTCAAAACAATATTCAAAATAAGACATTGCAAAATTATTTGCATATCTCCATCATAGACTCATAAACAACAACAAACACTAGCATTTAAAATAGAAGAACTTTCAACATATTATGCATTAACCTTCTCTTTCTTTTCTTCTGTAACAACAGCCAGTAAGAAGAGTACTGGTAAGATATTAGGCTCAATAAGTATACAAATTAACTATTAATTAAAATGCAATAATTTAATAAATCACATCATTGAAATCATCGTTGAACAAACTTACCATTATTTGTAAAACATAATAAAACCATAATTAACATTAGTCTTTACTTATTTTGAAGTTTACATTGAATATGAATTTTAGTCATTAAAAGATTTGGCTAAACTTTCATGAAAATATTCAATAGAGCCCAGGTAAACCTAGCATTACGTCATTGAATTATATAGAGATTATTTTCCCCTCTTTAGGAATACCTTTTGCCCCATCTGCTATATAGGTATCATATTTTATGGGGTCCCTTTTGCCCCACTTACAATGTAGTTTCATACAGGTAAACCATTTTCTCCCACCTACACTTGTAAGTTATACATTATTTACAGCAAACTTTACTTTTAAATTGATATTTACCACACTTCTCATATTTATAATTCATAAGTACATTATTGCATGATTTCATAATACTTTCTTTTGAAATTTGTATACAAAGAATATGTATAACATATATAAGGAATTTAACCTTTATTTCAAAACATTATCAAATAGAAAAACATTTAGATTAACATACTAAACTTTATTTTTAATTCACATGTTGAAATCATATAAGCAATCATTCATATTTGAAAACTTGGAGAAGAACATCCTTAATCAAAATAAATAACTTGTAATACATATGTTTCTTAATTCATCAATTACCAACATACAAGCATAAGTTAACAAAATTGTCATTAAAATTAAATTCCTATTACTTACATCTTTGACGAACTGCTTTTTCCTATTTTTCTAATTCGCACTCTTCGACGAATGTAAGTTACCTCGTAACCCCTCTGCATATAATCAATGATACCTGTTTTCACCTCTCTAA